GTCATTGTATTGCTTTGCATGATGATTGCTCATTTTGTAGAACTTTGTTCCAGAATAACACCTGTTGTTTTTATAACTAGATCAATATCCCTTTCTAGTTATCCCAGTCCTAAAATTCTTTTACAGAAAGCACCATGATGACAAGGGGGGCAGCAGAGAGTTCCTCTCTCCTAAATTACTAGGAGCAGCAGCAGACCCAGGCACTCCCCTGATAATAAATGGTACCATGCCCACATGGCAGAGCCAGACACGTGTTTTAGTACATGTTACCTCCCCCCTCACCCCCCGTATTTTATGACTAATTGAGTGACCCAGCCCCCCTCACCTTTGTTTCAGGAAAGACAGGTCCTCGGCCAAGTTGTCTCTGTCCACCTGGATGTTGTCTCTGTCCTTGGCCAGGAGGTCCAGCTGTCTCCTCAGCTCCCTGAGCTCCTGCTGGCACAGATCAGCAGCCCGGGTGGGCTCCTTGGACCTGGCCTGGTTGATCTCGGTGACCAGCACGGCATTCTGCTGCTCCAGGTAGCGAACCTTCTCAATGAAGCTGGCGAAGCGATCATTGAGCTCCTGCATCTCGGCTTTCTCATTGCTGCGGGTAGTCAGGAACTCCTGGTTGATGGCGTCAGCCACAGAGAAGTCCACCCGGTCCACAGACACACGGATTGGGGTGCTGGACCTCACCCGGTAGGCTGAGGATCGGCTGGAGGGACCCGGGGATGGGCTGCCCAAATGTCTGGAAGTTGAGAGTCTGGAAGAGGAGGAATAGGACAGCGGGGAAAGGACTGGAGCCCCAAATGTCCTGCGGTAGGAGGTGGAGGAGCTTCTCATACCTGAGTGACTCATGGTGGCTGGGGTTCTGCTGGGAGTCTGTCTGTGAGATGTCTGAGGACCACAGGGTACCAGCTGCACTGGGATGATGGAAGAAAGTCCCTCACCCCTGCAGGCTGCTTATAAAGGCAGCCTGGAGCATCAGTGAGCACACACAACTCCTCCCTGTGGGACCACAAGCATCTTTTGTCCTGAGCACATAGGGGGAGGAGGGGGACCTGCATCCACCACGCCCTCAGTGTGCTCAAACTGGGCTTCCTGTGCTGTGTCAGTGTGGTTGCCTTAGTCTAGTAAGGGTGTGACTACAGCAGCTGATATGGCCAGTACCCCAGAAATAAGGGAAATAAAACTTACTAAGAGTGGGTATTGATGTCATTGACAGAATGTTGCTGTACCAAGTTAGTTCAGTATTAATCATAACACCTAGAGATCAGAGTCGATAACCTTAGGAATTTTATTTTCTTTGTTTTATTTTTAATAAATGAGAGAGGTTTGGTAGGCTCTTAGTGTTCAGAGGGTTAAATGGCTTGTGTTCTTTTAGTAACCCATGTCTAAATTTTACCCTCTAATCTAGTTAATCATATTTTGGTGTCAGAGGTTAAGGCCAATAGGCAATACTGGTTTGCTGGGGCCACTGGAACATCTGCTACTCTACTCGCCCAGGTTGAGAAGATGCACTTAACATATTGGGAGCAACTGGATCTCACTGTAATTCTGCACCCATGTTACATTAGAACATTTACATTCCAGTGATGCTTATCTTAGTAATGTTTGTGAGCTACATTCTCTAAGAAAACTCAGCCAGGCTTTATGTTGGCTAGGCATCATATGAATTGTAGTTCTCAATTATTTGGGTGTCAGAGTTACACATGCGTGTTCTAGTATGCATGGGGTCTAATGCTCTCCTATGTTTTCTTTACAAAAAAATAATTTAACCAGCCACTGCAAATTATTATTAGTACTGTATTTAGAGCTGTACTATATCTGTATACAGGCTCTTATTATTAAAGAATATATACATTTGGGATAAATGATAGATTTTCCTTCAAGGTCACTATTTATAAAATGGGGGTATTTGACTAACAATAAATAGTATTGTAGATCCATTTAACAGCCAGGCTTTTAAGAAATATAATGTGATATTTATTTTGTCAATCATATTGTATTGTGTAGTAAGAGAGTTGACATACATACAGACATTGCAGCAGAATAATACAGATTTTAAAATGAAATAGGTTTAAGAAAACTTCAAGACCGTCACGTTCAATCTTCACACATGTGCCCCTGCTCAAAAAGAAGGCAAAAAATAATAATATTGAAGCAATTTCCAGTTGCACTAAAAGTGACACAATAACAGGTTAAACATACCAAATGCAAAACTAGTGCTAGACCCCCGCTGAGAATAGCTGTGAAACAGCCTGGGACAGTGGAGCCATGTGCAGACAAGACAATGAGAAGACGTAAGACAAGCAGTAGATATCCAGACATAATATTATGTATGTGGCATTGCTCCAAGACAAGGCAAGGAGTGTCCTTACATAAGTGCTTGACATACAATCATACTAACCATGGTTGTGGAATTGGCAAGGATTGTGGGTTGGTAATGATGCTGATAATGGCAGCTGCAAAGGAACACAGTTTATGATAGCCAAAAACACTGAAAGGATTTTTTATACCCACATCCACTGCCTCCTCCTAAGAGGCAAACTCACTGTGTCCCATAACTGCAGGACCTTGATGATTCTTTAAGTGTTATCAGTGATACAAATGAACCCGCAACAGGTTAAAATGGCAGTGGCAGTACATAAAGCCTTGCAAAATGGTCATAGGAACAAGGGAACCATGGGCTAGATCTTAAATTAGGGATGGATAAAAACTTTTGGGATTAAAAATTCAGTCCACTCCATTGTATTAAGTTAATATGATATAATAAATGATTGGCACACATGTAGTATGACTATGCATTGTGTGTTGATACAAACTTGCCAAGCACTATTTCAGTAAGGATGTATACCACTAAAGTATATAAATGCCCTGATATGACTTTCTAGGGTGCTATCCCCACAATTGGGGAAAATCTCAGATTCCAGCATTGTTTAGTAATGAGGCACACCATAAACATTTTCTCAGCTTGTCCCTTAGAAAGGCAATTGTGTTTGCAAATAGGTTCTATCACTGTTTTCAGCTCTCCATATTGTCATATTTTGGTGACGTTTTAACCCTTTAAGGACCAAACTTCTGGAATAAAAGGGAATCATGACATGTCACACATGTTATGTGTCCTTAAGGGGTTAAATAACTTTAATATTTTATTTTACATTTTTGTTTATGAGCAAGATATTTGTTTTTTATAAAGTATAAATCAAACAGATTTAACAGAGACAGTATACAAGCAAGTATATTGAAAGTGAAATTTACCCCACATAGCGATTTTGCTTGACAATGGAGTATATCTTTAATAACTTTTGTCCTGGCGCTTTAAACATTACTGTAGTGGCTATAGTGCTTGGAGTGTTTTTTTTAGCATATATTGTATTTTGTGCATTTTAAGTTAAATGCGTAGTTTTTTGGTTTTTTTTGTGGATTAACAAAGGTAGATTTTGTGCAGTTCTACAATCTTTGAAAAAAGTTTGGCAAAACTATTCCCTATGAAATGTGAGATTTACCAAGCCCATTTTAGAAGTGTCCGCTGTCTACCTACTGAGTTTAGTTCAGAAGTACGGTACAGAAGAACATTTGGGTTTCAAAAAACAGTTGGCTGGTTAATTGTGCTGGATTTTTAATACTTTGGGTAGATATGTGCACTGGAACGTTAGATGCTAACCTGGTATATTTGCTCATGTACTGCTATGGCTTTTTTTTGTAAAGCTGCACTGTGGGTGTGACCAGTGTAGCTAATTGAATCACAAGGACATCTCATAGTGGTGTGACTAAATTGTCTACTAAGAATATTGTCCCTCAAGAAACCTTGTCTGTAAGATCTAAAAGGAATATGTGATGTAATGTATGCATGGAACCGGAATGTCAATATTTGTGAGTCTTAATTTAAAATCAAGAAAGAGTCACATATTTTTGGACATGTGAACATCTTATACACAAACATGTTTGATATAAAATGCAATCACAGTTGGAAGAGATGCTCAACGCATTTAGAATAAAATGTATAGCTCAAAATCTAGATTTTTAGGTTTGATAACTGCAGACTGGAGGAGGAGGCTTTTGGGTAACGTTCTGGATGTGGGGCTCTTTAGCTCTCGATCTCCACAGCTGGTAGAGGGGGCAGATGGATATTAGTGTTTTTAGTTTCTTTTTACATTTTAAATTTGGTATGTTATAAATTTAATAAGCTGCTTGTTACAAAAAGAAAGATTAGTAGTAGGGTGCTCTGCCAGGCCAGTTTTAGGGAAGTGGGTGATGTCCCCCAGGTGACTGATAGGGGAACAGATCTTTATGGTGCACCCCTCTGTTATTCATGAAACATGTATGTGCTCGTTTCGGACTATACTTTCATTGACATCTTGGAAAGCATCAGCAACATACTGTTCATAGGTTTCAAGGACAGAACATAACATAACATAGAAAGGCAGACATGTCCTGACATATCTCTACCTTTCTGTCAGTATAAAGGACATCAAGTTTTCATTTGGGTTCAAGCCCTAGATGTTTCTAAAACCTAACAAAGCCAATATAGACCAACACATTTAATTCCCCATTTGGTTTGATCATGAGGAGATACATAAAGATATATAATTTGGGTGGCCTAAATACCACCTTTGTGAGGCTTACCAGTTCACTTACTTTGGAAACCTGTAAAATGAAGTCAGTAGGAACCATTCACAGTGAGGATAACTTGTAGTTTGCATAAAGCCTTATCATATTTAGAATGTCTGGGTTTTCATAGAGCATTTAGGTCTCTGAAAATGGGATTGGTATGTAATATCCACCGTCCCCTGCTTACCTCCAACTCCAAATTATAGTGTCTCTGTCCATTTATTTCTGTCCTCTTTTTATTTTTTTATGAAGATTGTATATTTTGTAAGAATAAATGTAACACCAGGCTATTGACCCACTAATGTTAACGGAAGTTACTTTAATATATAACAGCTTCTAAAGCGGTAGATATACAATTTATCATAGTGAAAAGTCATATATCTGTATTCTTTGAGAGCTGTTAAAGTGTTAATTACCTGCTTCCCATCACTCCAGCTCCACCATTCTTGGGGGGTCCATGCATGTTTCATTCTTGTAAATAGGGATGGCCTTTGGGGTTTGCAAGCCGTTTGGCCGCATAGTGCTCCATGACAACACAGACACCAGCTGACTGGCACAGCTCACAACAACATCTGTAGATCATTAATCCAGGTCTGGCACTACCTTAAGGCTTACAGTGTCCTTTCCGGTCCATGCAGTCCCACAGTAGCCCAGTGAGGTGCTGAACACACCAGCAAACCATGCAGAGCATGAATATACCTCTCATGAGCTTCAGCACTAGCAAATTGGACTTTACATAGGACACAAGGTGCGTTTAGACTGAAAGAAAGAAAGAAAGAAAAAGAAGGTTTTTTACTGTAAGAACAATAAGGATGTGGAATTCTCTGCCTGCAGAAGTGGTTTTATCAGAGTCCATACAGATGTTCAAACAGCAACTAGATGCATACTTGCAAAAACACAACATTCAAGGATATAATTTTTAAATGTAGGGTAATAGCTTCTTGATCCAAGGATTAATCTGACTGCCATTCTGGGGTCAAGAAGGAATTTTTTTCCTAGTTTGTTGCAAAATTGGAAGTTTTTCAAACTGGGTTTTTGCCTTCTTTTGGATCAACAGCAAAAAACAAATTTGAGGAAGGCTGAACTTAATGGACGCAAGTCTCTTTTCAGCTATGTAACTATGTAACTATCACTGACAGTATTTGTTGTGTAACCAGTGGCAACACCCTGACACTGTCAGAGAGCTGGATCTGGCAACAAGAACATGCCAGGTCTGCATCTAAGTTACATACAAAAAGAGCTCT